TATCCTTTGAGACAATCAAAAGTCATCATGAAAATGCAATGAGGAGCAGTTCTCATCATGAATTGAGGTTCAAAGGTTTATCTTGAAATTGGAAACAGCAGTGGAAAAAGATCAATTTATTCTGAAGCTTTTAGATCATAGCACATAATCTTAATTGTTAAAGATATTCTATATACAGTGATATAAAACAGAGGTATAATATTGCTGGATTATAGGCACACGCTAAGCATACCAGAAGTTTAGTAGTCAATAGCAACAAAAAAAAAGTTCTATATTGTATTTATTCAAGTGGTAACACTTTATATTAAGGTACACAAATTAACCATCAACTAGTTGTTAATTAACATGCATATTAGCAGTATATTGGCTCTTTATTAGTCATTATAAAATACTTATTAATGCCTTATTCTACATGACCATATTCTACAAGTAATAAGCCATTAGTTGAGAGTTGTTCCTCAATAACCCTCTAATTAGTGCTTATTTATTGCAAGTAAGGAAGTTGTTACATGAGTTTTGGTCTTAATATGCTCTGCTCAATATGGGCCTAATAAGGCAGTAGTACCACAAGATAGTAATTCTCCCATAATAACACTTAACAAATATGATCTATTCTTATGGAACAAGACATGAAACTACAAGTGTTAATTGTGTCTAAATAATTCAAAATTAGGTTGTAACTAAGAATATGTTTTGGGGTATTGACAGTTCAGCTACCAATAGCGGTAAGGTGATATTGACCTGTATGTTTCATATTTGCACATTTATATATTTGTAAAATGTGTACTGAAGGTTAAGGCCCGGACACACCAATCTGACAACAAAGAACTGACACAGACAGACCCCGACTGGTGCGTCGCCTCGCGTCTCTGCATTTTGGCCATGTGTCGCACTGGAACACACCGCAAAGACTTCAGCCGACGGCCAAGAAGCACGTACAAACTGCGCATGCGTGAGTGGCAATAACTCTCCTTACCAGCATGCGACGGTAGTGTGTATTCGTCATTCAAAAGAGGCAACAACCGGAAGACAGACTGCGTGATTTAAACAAACAACAAATAGCGTGTGCGTTCCATTTTCACTCTACAACGAGAAGCTCATGGGGCTTTTCAACATGTTGAATCGGTGGGTTTTTGGCCGAAAAGGCGTCGGGTCGGCAGAAAAGACCCGATGGTGCGGGACACACCAATCCGAGTAGGGTGTGTCGCTCATCGTCGGCCTGACGCCCACCAACACTGATAATCGGGTTGGTGTGTCCGTACCTTTAGACAGGAAACCGGGTCTACTGCATCTACTTCCGGTCCATGGGACCTTATTTCGGAAAAATTATGTATTGAAGTCAATGGAGAGAGAAAACTTATCTTTCGATCCCGTTTGAATTGTGCCACGAATTACACATACAGTATGATGTTTGTCAATCTTAAAAAATCATTTCCATGTAAAAAAAGTCACAGTTTGTCGTAAAACTGTTGAAATATAAGACTATGAAAAATACGCAACTAGAAAGGCTACAAATCCCAGAGTAAGTGATGTCATAATTTATGTCACAATTGTTTTCCTCCGCTAAATATAAGAGATAGATAAGATAACTTTAACAAGATGCCTGTGTGCTTAGTACCAGGTTGTTATCATACCAGCAATGGGTCTTGCTCGTTCTTTCGCTTCCCGTCTGATGAAAGGACCAGGAGTGGCTGGATCAAGTTAGCTACCAAGCTAGTAGCAAGCACGTCAGTTAGCATTACAGCCTTAGCCTTGTCATTTGTATTAGTTTCCGGGTCGGCGATACAGAGAGACACAGCGAAACTCATCCTGAGCACACACAAACCCTCACAGCCGAAGTAAAAACAATAAGTGTGGCTTGATATTGAGTAAGAAAAAGGTTTATAACGCTGTGAGAATGGATCTGCGCAGAGCATTTCTCCGTGATCCCAACTTGTCTATTACCAGCATTCAGGGAGCTCTATGCAAGTCAATGGGGACTCCCTGTTAGTTAGCCAAGGGATCCTGGTGTGTGAGGTGCTCCGCGGATTGGTCCATTTGTTGTTGATTTGGGTATTCACACGTCACAGAACCCAGGAAGAAAACAATGGAAGATGAGAAATCTCCAACGAGGCGTTTTGGGGCAGCATAGAAAGGTATTTTCTGTGTTAGAGTTTTACGCGCTACAGGGTGTACTTTGAGGGTTTTTGACTCTGCAGACCGTTTACATGCATAAAAACCTTCATAACACACAAGTGGACGTGTAATAACCGGAAAAGCATGACATGCCTTTAAATAAATCATAACTAAAACACTTTATGCAAGAGCTGTCTTATTGGTCAAGTTTGAGAGACTTAGAATATTTTCACTGATAACCCTTTGTGTGCATGTAGGTCCTTATTTAATCATGTGTGTATGGCCAAAATAAATGCTTTACAGTAAAGCCCTGCCATGTTTTGGTGGCTCCTTTGAGGCAGTATCCATGATGATGCCAGACCATACACCAATCTCAATTAACAAAAACCACCATCTTACTGTAAATCCCAACCCACAATGCAATTAAGTTTCCCAGAACCACAGAAAGTTCTCTCCGTAGATGATAGGTTGGTTGACTCATTTAATAGGTTGGACTTCTCAGGCATCTGTTTGCTGTATCAGCAGCTTTTTTCACCTGCAAAAAAGAAGCGGAATACACCTCGGCTTAGAAGTACAAAAGTTATTTGTACTTGGACCTCCTTATTACTTAAGATGTTTCCCAGATTCATTGCGAATATTTAATTTGATCTAGCAGGTCATGCAGAAGAGACGTGTTGCCATCTGCTGAACTGTCCTTAGATGTGGTTTTAGGATGTTCTGTAGCTTTACTGTAACAAATTGCGGCTTATAATTATATTCCAAACATAAGTGCCCGAACAGGCCCTTGAGTAGAGCACTGTATTTTGTTAGTACTGGAGGCTGTGCTTATGGTATTTCTCTAGAAGCACTCATCCAAACAACTTTTCAGCTTGTTTGGATGAGTGCAAAGTTAATTTAATCAGTCTCTCTTTGACTCTACACTTAAAGTAACAATTTCAATGCACAACTTTTACCATGTCGTATTAATAGTTTTTCTAATAAATAACAGTTTTACTTCTTCTACCTCTGTCAATACAAACATTTCTAGTTAAAATACGTGAAATGAATACAGCATTTGTGCCCCAATCACTAAATCCGCCCATTACAAACACACTCACGTCCAAGCTGATCACAATCACCAACAATGTTGAAATACACTTAGCAGATGCTATTTCTTCTCTTTAGAGAACCAACCAAACTCTTCTTAACTTCACTGGACATTAAATAAGTGTTTTTTTTTTAGAAGTTGTAGGACTTTAAACCAACTCATAACACTAATATGGTTGTTACTTCAGATGCAAATCAAATCCATGTGTTGTGTCTCGTCAAATGTGTTTCATATGTTTATGTATTATGTCTGTCATTTTCATGTTTTTTCACGTCTGGTCATGTCTGTATATTTAGGTTCTTCATCTCTAGTCAGTCTCTGTGTTTATTGTTATGTCTCGTTTTCCATTTCCTGTTTTATTTTGTACTTACCTCTTGTCTTTCATTTCAGGGGCCTCATTTATAAACGATGCATACGCTCAAAAGATGGCGTACGCCAGTTTCTACGCAATGTTTGCGATTTATAAAAAACAAACTTGACGGAAAACGTGCGGTCCTCCACGCCAACTCTGACCAATGCGTACGCACTAAGCACAACAACGGGAGAGACGAGAAACTGCGACACCGTTGGCAGAAGGAAGAAAGGAGAGAAATATGTGGAAATAATACCATAAACAAAATGTTACCTCTCATTTATCATATATGAAGAATTCATTTTCACAAATTGATTAAAGCCAATCTTAAAATGATTTAACAAACGCCTGTTTGAGACTCCTCAGTGCACACAAAAACATAACTTGGAGAAATAAATAAATACGGAAATGTTATTGATCACCCCTCGATTATGTTCTCTTGTCAAGAAATGTATTCTCATAAATGATGCGGTAAACAGAAGGACAGAATTACTTTAAACTGACGCCGTGTTGCATTTCTATAGGTTGTATAGATACGAGCATGGTTTTATATAATCATGTTTAATCATGTTTTATGCCGTTCACTGACACAAGTCCGTATCAAACACAATCTCAGGGACTCGTACATGATTTGTAGCGTTTCGAGAGGATCAGAGTGAAATCAAAAATATAATTCTCTTTTGAATATAGCAATTACAATTTGTATATTATGAAAGCCAGGGCTTTGTTTGTCCACTAATACCCCAACATGGAACAGAAGTATTGGACACAAATCCATGTTAATATCAAAATGAGCCATTGCAACATCCTACTTATTTTTGAAAGACCGTCACATATATTGCGAAAAAACTTCTACCTCAAACAACTGTATTTATACATTTTCATTGTGAAAAACAACATTTTACAAGATTAAACTTGATCTTATTCAATACCACCATGGCAAAAACTTTGAAATACAGCGTCCCCTGGAGCATCGATTGTGAGGCTGATTATTGAATATCACAAAGAGTGAAGTGTGTGTGGTTGAATGAAAGAAAAAGCAGACAGCTATTGGAGATAGAATAGAAAAACAGTCAAGTTAACAATTTGCCACCCTAAAGTCAGCATCAGCATGACCACAGTCTGGAAGCTGGTGTAATTAGTAGAGTAGCCATAGAATTTAACAATATTGAATTAGGTCTAGTTTCAGAGACAAAAACAGTAGCATTGCTGTGTGGAATAAAAATAAACACAAAAAGAGAAATCTTGTATGGCATTATCGTAAATGTTTATGATTGATAATTGAATAATACTTGTGCAGTGTTGGACTTAATTGTAGCAACGTTTCCATTCCTCCAGTAGTTCACAACGTGTTGCCTGCTGTTGGGTATATTGTATCCTATATGACAAATGTCTTCACCAATGGCATCACTGAATATATTTTGTGCATGTGTGTTTATGTTGCAGCGATGGAGGAGCTGGTGTGTGAGCTCCGTCTGTTCCTGGACCTATTGGACAGGGAGTATCTGAGCGCGGGGGTCCGAGAGAAGAAGCTGCACCTCTCAAACATTCTACACAGAGTCCTCTCAGAAAAAGGTGAGATAACAATTAGGGATGCACCGAATATTCGGCCACCGAAAATTATCGGCCGAAAATGGTTAAAAAGGCCCTTTCGGCTTTCGGCCGAAAGGGTTTTAGCACCGAAAAAATATCACCGAATGTCAGAACAGGCTTACGTTGGTAACCTAACGTGTTGTTGTGATGACGTAATAAAGACGCGGCGACCATGCTCGCGGCTGGCTCACAGGGGGGGGAACATTGACCTTTGTCATCGAGATTGCCCTGAGCCTTTAACAAATCGTATTCAATAATCTGATGACAGACTGTAAACAGAATAGCTGAAATTTTAACAAACTAAATAACTCAGTTACCTCTAATCATTAACCCATGTTTGTATCATGGACTTAACTCCGTGTGTTGCTGCTAGCATACGTAACACCTGACGTGGAAACGTTACTCGTGATGGAGCTACAGAGCTGCTAGAAAGACGGTCGAACCCGGTACATTCCTCCGTCTGCATGCGGTGCACTTTTGCTAAATGTTTAGACAAATTGCTCGTGCTTACATGCTAAACTCTTATTGCACTTATGGTAACAAGTATTCTCCACATCGAGACGGGTAAAGTTTAACCACACCTCGGAGCGCGTTCTCTCCGCCATCTCCGCAGTGTGCTCCGCTGCATGTAGCAGCTGCGTGTGTGTAAACTGCCCCGCCCCCTCGCACACAGACGGGGGAGAGAGATCTCGTCTGATCGAAAATACATCATAGACGCATTTGTTGTCTTTGCATATTAGAAACGAGTTGGCGACACTAAGACTGCGATATAATGTTTTTTAGTAATAATACATGACATATATAAATGCTGAATAAATGTTTTATGGACCCATAATAGTGATTATTATTTAAGTTAAGTTTTGCCATAATCATGTCTATTTCCATAATCAGAACAACATTGGTAAAAAATGTATACATTATATATATATATTTCTATTAATCATTTTCGGCCTTTCGGCATTCGGTTTTCGGCCAACTATTTCCTATTTTCGGTATCGGTTTCGGCCAAGAATTTCCCATTCGGTGCACCCCTAATAACAATAAAACTATTCAGAAACATTTTGGAGATACCTGGAGCTTACATGGTTACATATCTGACATGACCTGTGTGCCTTCATGTTTTCTAGACCTTGGCTTGTTGATACTTTCAGAACTGTCACATGCAGAGAGGGTGAAGGCATTCTGAGAGATGGGATCTTAATAATGATACAAAATCTAAACAGGAAAAGTTGCAGCCCAGATCACAATAGAACAAGTAAAGAATATTGGGAATGACAGAACATTTGTGAAAATGTGAAGTTTGAATGTGCATTTAATTTTTTTTGCAAATGTGCTATTGCAGTGTTTCAAATTTAAATTTTTATATTTTCGGGGGGCCTGGAAATTGGGAATCATGATGGTTAAACTGGCCAAAGTAAAAAAATTGAAATAGAACAACAGAAGTAATGAGGTTAAAAGACAGAGAGAGCTGGAGGAAAGTTAAATCAGCAGAGTAAGAAAGACAGGAAGTAACGACCAATGGGAACTCGTTATGGGGAGCATCATACTGTATGGTACTTTCTTAAAATGACCGCTGTGGCCATGGCCGCATCTACAACCATTTCCCAGTAGAACAGAGACTTTTTTCCAAGCAGAAGCAAAACAATCATTTATAAATCCAAAAAAATTACATTTATGAATATGTTTTGTCAAATTATTTATTTATCAAGTATCAGTCAAATAAGCGGGACCCTTTCAGGGGATTCAACACGCTTTTGCTTCGCCAGACCAGCAAACCCATGTAATGTTCAGAGTTACACCTCCTCAAGCCCACTTTATAGTAAAGAACTTTCTCTCATGTCCTGATGCTTGGTCCTCCTTCACAGAGCCTTCCTTCAAGTCAGAGATCAGCAGTGGTCTGCCGGCACCGCCTCAGATGCCCCTCCCTGAGATCCCTCACCCCTGGCTGGTAAGACCTTATCTTGACACCATGACCTTTGACCTTAAACACGCTTCTACAATATAAAAAAAAGGTACTCGGCAGCATTTAGCCCTACTGGCAACATCATGATGCTTCAGGTTCAGTTCCAACGTTTTGGAGGATGGAACCACAGTCAAGTGTATGTTATCATAAGAAAGATACACATGCATCTGTCAATGTATGTACCGATCCAACACTTGTCCTCCTTTTTTAACCCTCAAATTCAAATATAGTTATTGCAATCATTGACATGTACAATTTAACATGAGCTTGTAACTGCAACACACTTTTAAACAGATCAGTAATAATGACGTGTTTTCGCACATCAGCATCTAACCAATTCACTTGTGTGTTAGAACACACATCAAAGCCTTCATCACCAGACAATAAGGACTGTAACTAGGCTAACGATTTTTCTAGTCGACCAATAGTCGTCAATTTAGCTGACTAATCGTCACATGTTTATGACATATTATTTATGATTATTAATATTATGATTTATTTATTTTTCGAGGCGGTCCGCCTGTCAGCAAATAATAATACCTTTTATGTGTGTCAAAACAAGCAGCAAGGACACCGACTGAACATTTGGATGATTTATTTTCTCATCGTGGCTAGGCTAAGCTTGGCAAGTACTTACATGCTTAAGGTGATACGTCATATTTGAAGTTGACGAATAATAGGCAAACTTTTGTCTGCAGAGTTCGCAAACAACTTTCCTGGGTTCATCCTTGTCGTGCTCAAAGTGCTCCCGCACTATTTATTTCCTGCCTGACATAATTAGTGCTATAATAAGTTGGCACAGCTCCGTCTGATTCAACACGGGGAACGCAGCAGTCACATGTTTTTTTTGTATATAATTTTTTTGTCGACTATTAGCCTGTTAAGCCCCAAGCCTGTTTTTCAGGTTTCAGGCTCAAAAATGACATTCCCAGAACAAATGACCATATCTTCCCAAAGTAATGATAAACCTGTGAGTTGGAAGTAGAAGAGTCAGAATCAATATAGATGTTTTTTATTTTAAAGAAAATTCAGTAAATTATAGTGTCCGTCCAAAAAATATGTTGTACTTATAGTGAAAACTAACCTTGGATGATGGGTTAGTAGACTAAAAGCTTTAGGAATCCAAAGTACAACAGATAATAAGTACCCTGTATCAAGATTGATGCAAAACAAGTGATATTTGACCTTTTTAGACAGATTTAGCAAAAACAAACTTCTTCTGGGGCCATTTGGGTGGATTTTCCATATCTCTGGCCCCCCTTGCTCGATTTTGACATGTGACTTCTCTTCCTGACCGTTAGAGCCAATATAATCGAAGGGAAATCGTCCCATAGTTTAAAAAAAAGGTTGCGTCTTCGCGCATGCAAGCTCCCTGCATGCAAGCTCCCTGCAGAGCGTAGGAATATCCCTGCTCTGATATCTTGAAACGGAAAAGCAGTTTTATTGCTTATGGATTATCAAAACATTTCAAAGGGGACACAGACACATTGGATTAACTACACCATCGTTGTTATCGTTTTAATGCCATTGAAGATCAGTTTTGACCAGACAAAGACCAAGGTAAGCCATGTTAGCGTTTTTGGCTACCTAGCGCGACATGTTTTGATGTAGGTTTTTGTTATTTTCTCCGTGATTTTGTAATCTTTGAGTGTTGAGGTGGGTACCAATAGATTATGTGTCTCCTTACGATCATAAACGATGTGTTGGATGTGCAGCTAGGATAAGTAATAAGGGTGCTAGGAGTGATTTTCGGTGCAGTAAGAGCAGGGGCGGACTGGCCATCTGTAGAATCTGGAGAACCACAGAACGGCCGGTCGTCAAGGGCCGTTGACGGCCGGCCGGCCCTTTAAAAAAAATAGTTTAACGTCATCATTTAAGTTGCGCTGACGGCCGACAGAGGGCGACAGCGGCCGCTAATGCAGTTGTGTGGTTCTTATCTGTCAAATAATCCCACACGAAGAAGAAAAAAGACCGGCCACACGAAGAGAAGGGATTAGACGCCGCGGCAGACAGGGAGAATGAGAAAACATGGATACAAATCAAAGAAAACGAAAAGAAAAAGGTGGGGCCGAGAAGGCAAGAGAGAAAAAGGTGAAGTCACTCGCAGGTGAAGCATATCAATGTCGCAAATTGACAGACCTTTTTGGCAGCAGCGCTGCTACAAGCACTATCAGCAGCAGCTTAGAACAAATGCAAGATGATGAAGAGAATGATGTGGGCGCGAGTTCAGATATACAGCCAGCCTCCTGCGTTCATGATGAGGGACAGAGTTGAGCTGGTGGAAGAACCAGCTCAACTGGCATATACAAGTGCAGAGCAAGAGGTGGGTGAGAATTATCCCTTGAACTCAGTGGCGTTTTCTCCTGGAGGCCAAGGGAAGCCAGGCTTCCCCTGAATTTTGGATTGTAGTTATAATTTTAATAAATAAATAAAAACACTTCGTTTAGTTTCGGTAATGATTCTGCCGGCCCGTCTCTCCCACCATTCTCATTGAGTATTTTACAAAGAGTGAAACAGCGCCCCTCTAGATGTTATGGTGAAACAGTAGATTGCACTCTGTTGCGAGAGGAGGCTAGCCAAAATTGGCTTCCCTTGGTGAAAAGAAATTGAGGGCTTGACCAATCAGATGAGGATCACATCATGCCTCACAATCCAATCAAATCGCATCAACTTCAGTTCGTACCGTAACTGTCATCACCGCCCTTAAAAAGTAGCAAGCAACTGAAGCAAGTGCAATTATGGAGGGTGGAGATTTGGAGTATTTCATCAAACATAATTTTACTAAACTTCCGTTACACAGCAGCAACTAAAATTGAAATCTGATGACAGGCCAATGCCCAAACTGGAGCTGTGTACAGAGAGGAAAAAAGGAGCGAATCGGACGTAAAACTTTAAATAATAAACAGCGGATTTCTAACATTTGACATTTCATGTGGCCGGACTGGGTCAGTTTCCAGGGCTGAATTTTAGTCCCAGTCCGCCCCTGAGTAAGAGGTTAGCATTTTTCGCTCTGGGCTAATTCAGAGGGTCAGTGTTAGCATTTAGAGTTTTTTTTTTTTTAAATGAAAAAGATCAATTAAATGAGTTTTTTTCCGTTATATGGATATAAAACATTCATAGTTTATTAAATATGAAGGTTCCTTAGACGTTGTTTCCTTCAAATGACGCGATTTCGGCCCCGGATACGGATCCGTGGGCAGGGGCGGACTGGCCATTGGGAATACTGGGAGATTTCCCGGTGGGCCGCTTACCTAAATCCTACCGGCCCATATTTGTAAGTGTTCCAGCCACTCCCTGGAGGGGTGTGGCCCACACCCCACTGGGCTGGGCTGGGCCATTTTGATAGGCTACCTATGTTCTATATATCAGATAGTTTCACTTTCACACATCAGGCCCGTAGCAGCTGTCACTGCGCAGTGTACGATCAGGAGTGAGTGACTGAGAGACCTAGCTGGCAGTTGCTTACAGATGGATAAACAAGCTCCAAAGCGTAAAGGCGTTTTTGTATAGTTTGTGTACAGTATTGTTGCGAGCCCTGGGTTCAGAGGGATTGCCTGATCAGATGTCACACCAAGATTTTGTAGATTGGACCGAACAGCTGAGGAAAGGGACCCTATACTCTTTGCAACTTTCAGAGCTATACTGTCTGACGCAATGATGAGAACTAGGGATGCTCCGATCGATCGGTCACCGATCGAGATCGGCCGATACTCACTCTCTATCGATCGATCGGTGCTCTCTAAACATGCCGATCGCGAGAACCGATCGCGAGAACCGATCGCATGACGTAAAATACATGACACTTTTCTCTGTGTGCGGCAAAACAAGCTCGCCAAAATGGCTTCACCGGTCTGGCATTATTTGAAGGTGTCCGAAAAAGACAGTAAAATAGCGGTATGCAACGTGTGTGAAGCAGAAATCCTGCAGCTCCGCCCGCCGGACCGGTAAGCGGAAGGAAACACACAAGAGTTAGACCTAACACACTTAGCTATTTTATCTACCTATGGAACAAGCTAAACTAGTCATTATAAATATATGTATTCTTCACTGTCGGGTCACTCATTACTGGATCAGTGAGCTGCATGAGATACTGACAGGCTGTCAGGAGAGAGAGAGAGAGAGGAAAAGAGAGCGCTTCCGCTCATTTCTCCCGTGTTATTATCCAAAGTGAATGTAAACTTGAATAATGTACATAATTTGAATGTAATAATTAAGTTGATTGTTGTTTGTGGAAGCTCCAGTGAATGAGCCCCATTAACTGAGTTTAAACATCACTTTAAATGGAAGATTTAAAGTGATGTTTAAATCTTCCATTTAGGCCCCGCCCACTCGATCGGATCGGCGATCGGTATCGGCCGATACTGATTCCGGCGATCGGCCCCGAAATTGGCGATCGGAGCATCCCTAATGAGAACCTCTGTTTTGTCTGCATTAAGCTGCAAGAAGTTGTTAGACATCCAATCCTGAATGGCATTTAGACAGTTGTGTAACACAAATAATCTATCAGGGTTATCAGGTTTAAAAGAGACAGAGTTGAATAATAATGAGAAGCAGTTCACTCCAGTACCCCAGTGTGTGCCTGCAGATGAGAGCTGTGGTTCCCAGTAAAACTAGTTAAAGTGAGGAGTGATGTTCATGTCTTTGTAGCAATGTTTCTAGTCAGTAAATCTGAGAAAATAATCTCAACTAACTTTCTAGGACCCTTTACCTAAAATGTACCATCATGTTTTTCAGTGTTGATCAATTCATTTCTGACATAAATGAGACTAAATCATGTGATAATTCTAGTTATATTTGACCAATAACTGTAATATATATATATATTTTTTTTAATGTAGCATATAAGGAAATTGCCAAATAATATCTGATTTTGCTGCTCCAATCTGAAGATGTTTCTGTATGTCTTTTGAACTCTTGGCCATACAAACACACACATATACAGTAGACACGTTACTTTAGGCGCCTTCATTTCATAAAAAAACCCA